CAGTTGCCTCATTTAGGCAGTGAAGACAGCAATATTAACCTAAAGGGTACTGTTAGGGTGAAATGAGCTGTGCACATAGAAATGCAGCCCAGAGCCCGGCGGACAAGTGCTCAACACGTATCAGCTCTTCCCACTAGTAGGGATGACATGTTCTCATACAGGGAGGCCTTTGCTACACATACCCTTGAAGGAAGTGGCTGCCTCCCAGTACAATGAGTAATTCATCAAAAGGATGTTAATGTCGATTGTCACTAAAGACAACTGTTGCAAGGAGGGTAGTGGGGAAGCATTAGATGATCTTAAAAAAAAAAAAAAAAAGATTTATTTATCCTAGAGAGCAGGAGTGCAGGGGAGAGGCAGAGGCAGAGAGAATCCTCAGACTGACTCCCTGCTGAGCACAGAGCCCAACACAGGGCTCCATCCCAGGGCCCCAGATCACAACCTGAGCTGAAATCCAGAGTCAGGCACTTCCCTGAGGGAGCCTCCCCCGACCCCGCCGCCGCCGCCCCCGCCGCCCCCCCCACCCCAGCACCCAGCACGAGAGGACCTTAAAGAACCACTGACCTTCAGAAAACAGGAGTTCCTACCGGAATAGGAGGAATCAAAGAGACGTCCACTAGCAGGGGCTCCGGAACTGACACACGAGGGCTCAGACCCTCATGACCGTCTCCCTGGGAGTGGGGAGAGAAGGCGCATCTTGAAGTTACCTGTACTTAGGAAGCCGTTGTATTTAATTTATGGATATCAGAAAAGAGGGAGTTCAGTGTGGGAGGATGGAGATTATGAGAGATTAAAGACGCTGCAACTGAGGGAGGAGGTTCGAGCCTTTGAATGAACCTCCCCCATTTTGTCCCCCAATCCGCTGGAAGTTGTAGGCTTTGCAGCTATATCCAGCCCTTCCCCATCTCTCAGACCATTCAGGAAGTTGACGGAGGATCATCTGCTTTATGTGAGTGGGAAGAGAGAGTTATGGAAATCTAGAAAGAAGCTGAGCATCTTGATATTATTCTGAACAGTTTTGACCTTGCAAACTTCCTCTCTGAGAACCTCTTGGCTAGACTGGGGTGATTTCTCCCTGTCCTGCTGATCTTGCTTTCATCTTTCCCTCCCACCCCCCCACCGCCATGTGAAAAGGCAGCCCCTGATGGGGTACAGGGTAGGTACCCTTTGTTCAAACAGTATATTCCCCAATATTTCACATAATTCAAAATTCCCTAAATGTAATTCTGATTCGAAAGAGGAGATATTTTTAGGCACCAGCCTCTCTTGTCAATTAGCAATAGAATGAATGCAGTTTACAGTCCACTCCCTTGAGAAAGGAGTTTTAAAGTTAGTAGGAGAAATTTTGGATAAATTGTTGATGGGGTGAGGCTGAAATCATTTCAAGAAGTCACAAAAAGGTTTTATTAATATTTCATATGGCACCATTCTGAATTTGTATAAGTTAGGCTCTTCATTGTGAAGAAGGAGGCCCCTTGACAATGGTGTGGGAGGGGATAGGAAGAGTGGCAAGAACAGAAAGGTCCTTGAAGGCAGGAACTGGGTCTGATTCATCTCTACCACCCCATCCCCTGTCTCCGAGCCCCACAGTGTGGGCTGAGTTCCAGGGGAGGGACACCGGAGAGCAAGCCAGGTGCATCTCTCCAGGTGTGAGTCACCATGAGATGAAAAGCAAAAATGGTGGAAACATGAGATGCTCATTAGCAATGATTTATTAGGAACTAACGAGGGCTTTCTGCTCCTGGGCGGCCATTATTTAAAAAAACATTTTTCCTCGGTGTCTAACTTCTCATGCTTAAATGCTCATTATTTCATGCTCATCCTGTCCGTGGAGTTCTGTGAGCCGCAGGCAGATAGAGGCCAGTCTTATTGTCAGGAGGAGGACATTTGTCCCAAACCAATGAAGTTCATCATCAATAATGCATAGGCCAGTGGGGCTGGGCATTTTTCTAAAGCCACATGGCCATTCCCCTAGCAGGGGCTATTTGGATATTCTGAGTTTCTGTGTATTTTAGCCCCAAATGTAGGTATATGGAAACCATATGCAAGAAGTTCCTTTCAGTGAGACATAGTAGGGACTTTTTTTTCTTATTATTATTTAAATTAACTTACATTTTTGAGGTACTTGCAGATTCCCATAGAGTTGTAAGAAATAATATAGAGAGATCCCATTATACCTTTTGCTTAATTTCCCCCAAAGGTAATGATGTCTAATGGTTAGTACCATTACCCTAGTACAATGTCACTACTGAGGTTTCCTTTAGACTCAGAAGACTCGGGGCACCTGGGTGGCTAGGTGGGTTAAGCCTCTGCCTTCAGCTCAGGTCATGGTCTCAGGGTCCTGGGATCCAGCCCTGTGTCGGGCTTTCTGCTCAGCAGGGAGCCTGCTTCCCCTCTCTCTCTGCCTGCCTCTATGCCTACTTGTGATCTCTCTCTCTCTGTCAAATAAATAAATAAAATCTTTGAAAATTTAAAAAAAAAAAAAAAGACTTGGAAGACTCTTCAGACTTCCCTGGGAAAAACTCTGGGGAATGGGGTACTGTCTCCCCTTGGAAGGAATGTCCCCAAGTAAGAACCTGGAAGGCAGAGGGATACACCAGGGCTCCCTGGTTGGAAGTAAGAGATGTTCAGGCAGATTATAGATATCCTCCCCTCACATCCCTGACTTGTATGAGGGCACCATAGGGTTCCAGGAACCCAACAAGTTTCCTTACCTGGCCCCTGGGGTTCTGGGGAGAGTAGGGCCCTCAGCCCTCTAGCTGAGTCTGCTCAAGTATGGTGGTTGACAGTCGGCTCTGGAATCACACAACCCAGGGCTTGATTCCTAGCTCCTCACTGCTATATGGATGACCTTGGCCAATAACCTCTTAGAGCTTCAGTTTTTCATAATATCGTATGGCACTTACCATGTGTCAGTTACTCTTCTAGGAAGCTTATAAAATAACCAATTTAATACGACAACCCTAAAAGGGAGATATTGTTAGTTCTTATTTTGCAAATGAGGAAATTGAGGCACAGAGAGGTTATTTGCCCCAAGTCACCCAGCTAGGGAATGGCAGGGTCAGGTATGTGAAGCCAGGCCGTCCTCATTCAAGTTCACATACTTAACCACTATCCTGTGTTTCTTCTCCTCCTCTCTGACGTACACTCAGTGGTACCTCCCTGAATTTTCACAAGGCAGACTGCTTAGCACAGTGCCCGGTGTGTAATACATAAACACCAATAAACGCAGGCTAACATTCACTGGTATCATTGCTTCTGGAAGTTTCTGAGTATTCAGTTACTTCCATTCTGGCCACCTACCATGTGCCAAACCTTTATTCGGTCCTGCCTACTACCAAAACGAAGGAGTCACTTTTTTTAAATAGATGAAACAACTGAGAATCAGTGAGATGGAATCTAGCAGAGGCAGAGACAGCATTCGTACCCAGGGGCAGCGGCTGGAATCACAGCTCCAGAAGGAGCTTCAGAGGTACCAGCCTAACTTCACATCTAGCTCAGGACTTGCCCTGTGGAGCAGTCATTTATCTGTTCTGAAAAGCCCAGTGACAGGGCACTAGTTCTCTACACCTGTGGTTCTCATGCTTGAGGGCACATCAGAAGCCATGAGGCCATTGTTAAAATAGAGTGCTGTTCCCCTCCTCTATCTGCCACCCCACCCCACCACACGCCCCAGGGGTTTCTGACTAAGAAAGGCTGGAGTCAGGGCCTGAGAATGTGCATTTCTCCCAAGGCTCCAGAGAATGATGATGTCGCCGCCCTAGGGACCATACTTCGAGAACCACTGCTCTAGGAAGACTTCTTAGAGTAGTAATGGCAGGGACGATGGCAAGCTCCACTTACGCCCTTTTCAAGTGTGAGACAGGCTTCCCTCGCAGAGCCAGTATCATATACTTACCTGCACTGTAAACTATAAATCCCCGTCTGTGTGGTCCCCTTCCTTCCACAGAGGGTTCTTAAAATTGTGTGTTCTCAAAAGCCTGCCTCTGATTGGAGCCCAACCCCTCCCCAGCCCAGGCTCACCTTTCCAAATCCTTCCAAAATAATATCGATCGTGGCTTTTATGATTAAAAACAAACCCAATGAGGGGCGCCTGGGTGGCTCAGTCAGTTAAGCGTCTGCCTTGGCTCAGGTCATGATTCCAGGGTCCTGGGTTCAAGCCCCATGTCAGCCTCGCTGCTCAGCAGGGTGTGTGCTTCTCCCTCTCCCTCTGCCTCTACCCCCACCCCAGTTTGTGCTCACTCTCTCTCTCAAATAAATAAAAAAATCTTCAAAAAAATGAAGAGAAACACATTTATTAAAAAAACAATAACAATGAAACCACACCTTCCTACTGCTGAAAATTTAGAAAAGTACCAAAGATAAAAAGAATGAGAAAGAAAATTAAAATTAACCACCATCCCAATCCCCAATCCCACTGTTAATATTTTGATATATTTTAGTGTATTTTCTTATAGCCTCTTGTGAGATATATATATTTTTTTTTCATTGAGATATCACACTAGTTTTAGGTGTACAGCATAATAATTTGATATGTTTATATATATATTGCAAAATGATCATCACAGTAAGTCTAGTTAACATCTGTCACCATACACAGTGACAAATTTTTTTTTCTTGGGATGAGAACTTTTAGGATTTACTCTCTCAGCTACGTTCAAGTATACAGTACAGTATGGTGAACTACAGTCACCCAGGACTTATTATTTTACAACTGGAAGTTCGTACCTATATTTGTTAATAATATTGGAATAAAAACATACATAGCACCTAGCATCCTATAAGCCAATTCTAAATGTTCTCTATACATGGGAGCTGCTGTGGTTTTCATGATGGAATTCAAAGGAGAAAGTGAGGTCTGCCATGAATGACGAAGATAGGCCTTTGAGCCAACCACAAGAACACAGGCATGGAGATGAGCGTCATTGGCATCTGTGGGCTGGTGGGTGGTGCGGCGGGAAGTGGGTTTCAGTCAACTGAGCGGGAACAGGTAATGATGGGATGCTGTTACCGGCTGACCTTGAGCTCTCTAAAGCACCAAGAAGTGGTGTACATTCTTAATCAGGAATGACATGACAAAGGGACTTCCCAAAGCCCATCCAGATAGCAGAGGTCACTATGGGATGGAGCGAAGTAGTGAGAAGGCAAGGGGAGGGGCAGGGGTACCCAAGTTGGGAGCAGCCTGGGGGCCCACCCAGTCTCTAGCGGCCGAGGCAGCTCTGGGACATGGATAGGCCTACTTCTGAGCCGCCAGGATGGAGAGGGACTGGTTGATCTTCACCATGGCGATAATGAGGAGACCTCCAGTCAGCAGGAAGGTAGGCCAGAAGAGAGAGAAGAGCAGGGTCCGGGGCCCATAGCGGCGCTGGTACAGCACAGTGGTCTCGTTCTCCCGAGTGGTCGAGAAGCAGTAGAAAGTCTGTTTCTCGTGGAATGTGGCCCTGACCTTCTCCACATCAGCCCGGGCCACTTGGTAGTTCTCCAGGCTGCCTGGGATATAGGAGCACTGCGGGGGGAAGGCAAGAGCACCCATGAAGTTGGAAATCCTGGTTTCTCTGGGAGAGAGAAGGGGCTGGCATGAAGTAAAGGAAAGTGTTGGCTTTGGAGTTGGGCCCCCGGCTGGGAGTGAGATCTGTTGAAAACTTGTCAGGCTGTGCACTGCGTGGTTCCAGAGGGTTCCTTTGCAGTGTCACGTGTGAGGGCAGTGGCCCTAGTAGCCGCTCACCAGGAAGCAGGTGCCCAGCTGGAGTTGTGGCTCTGTTTCCACTGGCTGTGGGACCTGAGGCAAACTGCTTACCTTTCTCAGCCTTGTTATCTTGTCTCTTGAAGGGGTTAAGAGCAGTATGTATTTCAAAGGACGTTATTAAAGAAGGACTTTGAACTTAACTAACCCAAGAGTGGCACAGACCCATTGGGCTCTATATTCGGATATGCGGCAGAGGTCATACACTCAATTTCCCATAGGGCATGTGCACATAACATCCCCAAATGAAGTGGGTCAGGAAAGAAGATGACAAGAGCCGGCCGACACTCACCTTGTGCCACGGAGGACAGTCAGGGACAGGGGTGGGGGAGGGAGAACTGGTGAAATGGAGAGAGCTGGAAGCATCCAGACTGACAATCGTCATTTTATCTAGACGCTGGATGCCATGAGATCCGGGAGATCTATGGTAGCCAGGCCTCCACATTTCAAGAAAAACCAGAAAGCCAAATTCTAATGTGAACTCTCACAATTTTAAAATATTGGCAAAAATGTGAATTGCAAACCCTTTGAGGTCTAGCACTGTGTGAGCCAGACAGAAGATATTGGCAAGCCAGTATCTGATACTGGGATTCGAAGGAAGGGGAGAATACATTTGAAGGAGCTGGTATAGGCGGAGCATAGAATGCACTGATCCTGACGCTGACTGTTTTTATTAGGAGCCTCTGGCTCCATCAGGTGAGGTCCTTCCTGCTGGGAAGCTCTGCAGAGCACGCACAGAGGGGAGACCCTGGTTTCATCTCGGTTCTGTACCAGGAGGTCTGAAGGTTGTTTATGTGAGGTTCTGGAAGTTTCTACGAAGGGTTCCCCCACAGCACCTGCAGCAGACTAGCTGGAGGGCTGGCCAGAGCACAGGTTCCTACTCACTCTGAATTTCTGGGGGTGGAGCCCAGCAAACAAGTGACTCCTTCATGCACAGTAGTCTGAGACCGCTGGCCTGGGATGGTCATGTCCGATCAAAGTCTGAGTGTTGAGCTGGCTCCTCCCTAGGCCTTGGTTACTCCTTGGATTTGAATGAGACCCTGTCCCCAAAGCTGCCTGCCCGGACAGCACCCATCCGGCAGTTTGGGAGATAGTTGCATCATGGTCCTGACAGCCTGGGAAGTGGGGGAGCCGTGTCCAGAACCGTCCCCTGAACAGCCAGAGAGCATGTGAGGCTGGGGAGAGCTGCCTCCAAGGAATCTGACCTTCAAAGTTGTTGGGTACAGCAGGGTCCCAGGAGCAGATTAACTCAGCGTTCTGCACTGAGGGGACCTCACCTATCTTCCCAATGTCTCTGACTCTGATCTTGGGTAACTTACCCCATTGAACAAAGGTATGGCTGTGGAGTCAGACAGACCCAGATTCAGCCACCAGGTCCAAAGTTGTGAGACTTGGTGGGTGCCACCACCTCTCTGAGTCTTGTAAGGTAGGTTTGTGAGGGTAGTTGCCCGGATGACTTGGCATGGAGACAGGACTGGAAGGTGTGCTGCGGAAACGGACCTGGGGAGCAGTGGGGTAGGGAGAGGCTGGCAAACTCAGGGTCAGGCATGCAGCCTGTGAGCCAGCCTGTCCCCAATCCCTAGCACGCCAGTGGTCACTCCTGCCTGACTTCTTACTCCTCGAGATAGAACAGCAACCACCGATTGCCAAAGAAGCAGCAGGGGTCCTGGTAGAAGCGGATTCAGGGGGACTTGGGGGCTCTTTTCTCATCTGGTGGGACTGAGTCATGCTAGTGTTAATGGAACGGGTCAGTCACCTTGCACTGTCCAAACCCACTTCTCCATGACCTCCCAGCACCATCAGTAATCTCACTGGACACCCTCAGCGCCCTGCCCTTCCCATCCCATTAGCTACCTAACTCTGACCGTCAGCATCTATCCCCAACCTCTCTGCCCAGGCCAATCTCCAGCCTGGCTGTTGGCCATGGCCCCAACCTCTCTGCCCAGCCACTGAACCTCATGCTCCTCTGTACCACTCTGATCATGCTTAGGCCCACAGACCCTTTAAACACTCCTGGTTGCTCACAAAAGTAGTTCTAAACCTCAGAAGCCCCTGGAGAGTCCAGAGATTCTGCGTCAGGTGGTCTGGTATAGAAAGCCAGCTTTGTGCAGTCCACCGCTGGTTCCAATGTGCAGCCAGAGTCGAGCAGGGCCAGCTTGCCCAATCACATTTTAATGCCATAATTCAGGAGTCCTTGCAGAGAGGACGGGCACACAGCTCGTATGGTGCCAGAATATCATTAACATTTCCCTTCTTTACGGTCTACTTGAATTTAAATTCCTGGGAACCAGTAGAACCTTCCCCTGGGAAATGCTATGGGAAATGGTAGATCGGTTAGGAGCCACTTACGACTCCACTCCCTGCAAAACTCAGTGTCGTGAGCATTCTTCCGAGCGAACCTGTTCTAGATAGAGCTCTGACCTTCTGAAACGAATGCAAAGGAGCTTCGAGTGTTCGGAGCCCAGGCTGGTGAGAGCCCCGGTGGGCTGGGACAGAGAGCACTGCCTGCCTTGGCACTGGCTCTACTATTTGCTGGCTGTTCAGGCAGAACACCCCTACTTCTCATGAGGTTGAACCAGGGCAGTTTGGGGTAAAACAGTGATTGTAGATGAGCTTAGGCCTTCCCCCAATTCCCTTCCTTATGCTGGACTTCTAAGGCTTGGAAAAAAAATCCCAATTGAACACGAATGCCTAATTCCATGCTCTGTGGGCCGGCTTCCTCCGCCGGCTTCCCTGACACCGCTGTGTCGTATCTTGACCTCGAATTCAACACACACGTCTCCTGTCCTACCGCACTGTGTCTGCTGTCTCACTCAGACATCCTTAAAGACTATCATTTGAGGGGAAAAAAAAAATCAGTAAAGTGTTTGCTATGATCTTTTTTTAAATTTTTTAAAATCTTTTTTTTAAACTAATTATTATCCATAACTTGTAGCATTCTTCATTAAAGTTTTGCTTTTCTCAAAAATCAAATAGAAACCTACCACAAACAAAAAGCTTTCTGCTTCCATCATTGGGTCAGGTAGAGTCCACCTGTGTGTTCCCCCTGCCCCGCCCCAATGCCCCCTGCATCAGTGACTGCAGCACCGCTTTCAGGTCTTTCTCTTCCAGGCCCTTCCTCCTGCCACACAGTGGTCTCTGCCCACCCCTCTCCAGGCATGCTGCGCTCCTGTTTCTGTGTATCTAATGCCTGCGTGATTTTTCAAGCCTGACCCAAACGTTTTTTTGACACCCTCACCTTGATGTTGGCTGCAAAGAGTCACTTCCGCTTTTAACCCCATAATTTCCTCTGTTCCTCTCTGTGGCACGGATCCTGCCCCACTAGGTGTTATTTCCCATGGGAGCTCTCTCCTCCTGAGTCCAGAGGTCTTATCACAGGACATGCTCAGGGACTCCTGGATGAATGAGGGAATGAGGGAATGGATATGGCCAACTTGTATTTTCTGGAAGAAAGGATAGGATGAGGGGCTGAGGGGCGGTGTGGAGAGGCAGTGACGGGAAAATCTCCCAAGCACTGGCCTCCAGAGTCTGCTGCAGCCTGGGCCTCTGGTTCCACCGAGTGGGGCCGGTCTCAGGGGTTCTTCTCCGTGGGGTCAGCTCTGGCTCTGGCCTCTCATTTGAATTACCTTATAGAAGTGCCTGCCATCCACCGACACTGAGCCCAGCACACCACACAGCCTCTGACTTCATGACTGGACTTCAGCCCAGGCGGGGCCCAGGTCATACAGCAGTTGGTGGCAGAGTGGGGACTCAAACCCAGGTCTGCCTGACTCCAGCCCAGAGGAGCTAAGTCTGAGTCCAGCCCAGAGGAGCTAAGTCTGGCTGGACCTCATAGCAGTTGTGGACCCTTGCCAAGTAGGCTCAGCTCTCTCAGCCTCCATTCCCCAGAGCATGGATGGGGATTCAGTTAGGAAGAAGCCCACACACCTGCCAGGGGCAAGAGGATACCTGCCCATCCCCCCTCCCCTAGTCAGTACCTGCTGGTTCTGGTCCCGAGTGTCCTCTGTGTGATACAGCACAGCCCACCGGCCCACAGCTGACACGTTGACCCACAGGCACGGGTACTGGGGCACCTTCTTGCCCTCTAGCTCCTCCTGCTCCCTGATGCTGGTCTCAATCAGATGGCACGTGGATTTCTGGGTCCACACACTGGGGAGACCGTGCAGACACATACATATGTCAGAACCCGGGTGACGCAGAGCATCGGGTTTCAAACCCTTTAGAGAGACCCGGGGCGTGTGACCCTCATCTTGCCATAAGCATCCAGCACTAAAGGAGTGTGACTCCAGAGTGGTTGGGCCCAAGAAAAGAACCATAGAATCAGAATAGCAATGCTTATTAGCCTCTTAGACATCATTTACATAAGTGGTTCTTACCCTGGCTGCTGACCCAAAATCCTGGGGAACTTTTGAGATGATTCCCATGTCCCAGCCATACCCCAGAACAGGTGAATCAGAATTTCTAAGGTGGGCAAAGTTCAGGCCCTGATATGTTTTTAAAAGCTCCCTGCCTTGATTCTAATAAGCAGCCAGACCCCAAGACCCATCTTGTAGGGGGTAGGAAGAAAAGCTCAGAGAGGTCAAGGGACTTCTCTGAGGCCACACAGGACCCGAGTGCAGGTCTGATTAGCTTCAGAATCTGTGCCTTTCCCCCCCAAAAAGAGGTAATGCAGAAGGGGCTTGATTTGTGCCAGGGTAGGGAAGTAGGTGGGGACAGGGCTGAACCTGGAGATAACGGGTCACAGGCACACAGCAATTCTGAACAGTGCCTCCTTTGGGGAAGATTCCAACCTGGAATCAGTCCAGGGTTATAAAAAGTGACAAAGATGCAGGCTCAGAAGAGGCTAACAGGCTCATCAACACATCAGCAAATCAATTGTGACTCCTCTCGCATTTATCTGGCAGGACACATGTTGCCAGATGGAGGGGCTGTCAGCAGCTGGAACATTCCCAGAGGCAAGGGTCGGAGACTTATCCTCAAAAAAACAGGTTGAGAGAATAGAGTGTGTTTGTTCCAAACAGAGAACGGATCAGGAACTTCACAGCTTTGCCTTTAAAAGTCCAAGTGGTTGACATGTCAGGAAGCAAGGAACATTCTCTGAGATTCCAGAGCAGAGCTCCATGGAAGCAGCTTTTGGCTCAGTGTAGACATTTCCTACTTCTCAGAAAAGCCCCAAAATGAAATGGTATATACCATGAGGTCCTGAGCTCCCTGTCCCTTGAGATATTCAACAGGAGGCTAGACGCTCACTTGGCCGCGAGCTTTCAGAAGGGGAATCAAACTGTGCGGACAAGCTGTGAAAATCTATAACCTCTGATTTCTCCTGGGATCAAACTCACACTGGGGGTGGTTTGCTCTGATCTTTTGCTGCTTTTTATGAGAAGGGCCTCCTATGTCGGCTACCCCCATGTCCCAGAACCCCAGATGAGCAGGGACCCGTCAGACCTACCCTCCCTGAACTCAAACCCTTCACCCTCAGAATGATTGTCCAGCCCTTCCTGCCTGGTGTGAAGTCAATGGGGAGAGAGGTAGGAAGAATGATGGACTTCCTGGTCGACCAGATCCATCGAAGAGCAGCTGGAGGACGGGGCAGGTCAGGAGAGTTCCATACCTTTTCTGGTAGAGGGGCAGCACGGTCGTGCCCAGGATATAGTAGGCGATGACCGCACACACCACCATGGCCACACCCAGGCAAAGGGCTCGAGTCTCTCCCCGCTTCTGGGCCATCACCAGCTTCTTTCCCATGTCCACTGCAGGCACTGGTCATTTCTAGAGCCACAGAGGCAAACAGACATGAGATCAGCACAGGCAACGAGTAACCCACAGAAGATGGGACAGGTAAAAGGGGACGGTGCTCAATGGTCAACATCACCTCTAGTTTGTTACAGAGCTTTGCAACTCCTGAGGTCTTTTTGAACACACGTAAACCTCCCACCAACTGAGAGGCAAGTGTTATCATCCCCATTCTACAGTTGAATCATCTGTGGCTCAGAGAGGTAGAGAGACTTGTCCAAGGCCACACAGTGTGTGGTAGGTTCAATAATGACCCCAAGAGATCCATATTCTCAGCCCTGGAATCTGTGAGTGGTACTTTACGTGGCAAAGACCTTAATTTAAGGTCCTGAGATGGGGGGGTTATCCTGGATTATTCATGTAGAACCTAAACGTAATCAAGGGTCTGTACTGGAGCAAGGTGAAGGGAGACGAGACACAGAAGAGAAGATGATAATGACCAGGGTGGAGAGCTTGGAGTGGTGTGGTCACATGCCAGGAAGTATGAGCAGCCACCAGAAGCCAGAGGAGACAAGGAACAGTGGATTGTCCCCTCAGCCTCGGATAGAGTGGGCCCACCCGACACCTTGATTTCAGCCCTACCAACGCCTCGCTGGCTTCCAGAATTCTGTGAGAAGAGATTTCTATTGTTTGAGGTCACCAAGTTTGTGGTGATCTGTTAACAGCAACGGTAGAAAAGGAATACAGGAGATAAATGAATACAGTGGACAGTAGCGGTAGGACATCTGAGCACTTTCTTCCAGGACACTCGTCTCAGAAAAACATGGAGCATTTCACAGTTTACAAATAATCTCAAGGCAAGGCTGCCTGGGCTGGGGACAGCAAGCAGAGAAGGGCCAGGAGGGCTGAGTGCCCCAAACAAAACCGGTTCTTTCCTGGAGCATGGGGTGCCCTCGAGGAGCGGCCCTTGGCGTGTGCCCTACCTTCTAGCCCCTCAATCCTCCCAGCCCCAGACACTCCGGATGGTGGGAAGGCAGGGGTGCTGTGTGACCAGGTCTAAGATGCTAGGAGGAGAGGAGAGGAGAGGAGAGGAGAGGAGAGGAGAGGAGAGGAGA